TTTTTTTTTTTGTGAGACTAGAAGGTCCAGCTTAAAAAATGTGTCTGATCTTTTTGTGATGGGAGGAGCACTTGTTTTAGAATCTGCAGCTCTCTTACACTGGCTGGAAAGGGAGGGTTATGGACCTCTCGGAATGACCGGAATATCCATGGGAGGACATGTAAGCTTTTCATTTAAATTATATGTAACTGAGATTATGTTCATAATAGCTAAGGCATCAGGTTATTTAATAAAACATTCACTTTTGTCATAAAATTATTTTCAGTTTTGGTGAAAGTAGGCAACAGAATTTCTGAACTTTATTCCAATTATGAAGTAATAATGTTTTTATAGAATTTATATATGAATTGGTTATACTATTCCACAGTGATACCTTCTATGTTATATTTAATATTATATTAAAAACAGATTATAAAATGTCAATTTTCTAGTCTCAAGTATAAATACCTTATTTTGCTGATAAATTGATCAAGATAGATAATTTAGAAAATGCTTTTCATTTATCTCTTAGCTCCACCAACCTCTTCCACCCTCAGCTGTCTTCTAAAATGTACTAAAACATTGTCCTAGTTTGTATCTCTGCCTGTAGTCCAATACTTTATCCCACAATGCCACACCAGGAGTCCAAGTCTTTTCTCTCATTTGTCTTTTTCTTAATATTTTTTTCTCTACAAGCACCTAAGGGCCAGGATTCTAGATTGACCTAAATTTGATCTCTGCTCTCCCTTGCTTAAAATCCACTGAAGATTTGTCTTGTGGTAGCATCTTTCTTAAGGAGCGCTGATGGTCCTATAGAATAAGCATTTGCCACAAGGTTGGCTGGTCAAACCCACCAGCCATTCCATGGGGGAAAGATGATACTTTCTGCTCCTGTAAAGGGATCCTATATAGGGTCACTGTGAGTCAAAATCGACTCAATTGCCATGGGTTTGGTTTTGAGCATCCCACTAGTGCCTCCCTCATCAGTTTTCACCTAACAAAACCAAATACAGCGTATCCTTCAAGTCACAGTTTAGTGTTTACTTTCTCTGAGAATCTCTTCCAAACTTCCATTATTCTCTCTTTACTACACTTCATCTTTCACAAGAACTTATTCATTGTATTGCTGCCTATGCAAACATTGTTGATAGATTGCAAACATTGTTGATAGACAATGCAAACATTGTTGATAGATTGTTTGCAGTTTGTATTTTCAGTGAAGTAGCAGGCTCTGTGAGGGCTAGGAATATGCCTTGCCTGCTTCTTTACTGGGCACGTATTAGTCACATAGTAATTTTTAAAAAATAAGTATGTATGAAATTTCTGTAAGTCATTTGAATTATAAAATTCATTGTAAAATCTTACTCAAATTCAAAACAACTACCAGATAGTAAAACTGAAGGTTAGAAAATAATTTGTTTTACTACATAGTAGTGTTTCCATAGGGAGTCCTGGTGGCACAGTGCTTAAACACTCAGTTATTAAATGAAAGGTCAGTGGTTTGAACCCACCAGCTGTTCCATAGGAGAAAGATATGATAGTCTGCTTCTGTAAAGATTACAATATTGGAAACCCTATGAGGCGGTTCTACTATATCCTATTAGGTCACTGTCCGTCAGATTCAACCCTTTAGCAACAGTTTAGCTTTGATTTAGTGTTTCCATTGTTACAACCTTTGTCAGATTTTATCACCTAGACAACTGCTTATTAACAGGTCTCAAAATCTCACCCTCTCTAATCAATCCTGTAAAGTGCTATAATTTTAGTTCATTAAATCATTTGATCATGCTACTCCTTTGCTCGGGTATCTTTATTAATTTCCTATTAACTTCAGAACAAAAGGACTTCTAATCTGACCCTAATCATTCTTTCCAGCCCTACTTATCCCTTATCCCATTAATCAAATGTACCTTAGTGACACTGAAGTATATTGGCTATTGTATTCTTTGTGTTTTCTCATCATGTTGCCTTTGTTCCTACTGTCTCCTTTCTGTAGTAGACAAGGGCCTCATCTTTCATTGTCCCTAGGAAGCAGCCATTTTATGAGGTATTCTGTGATTTTTCCAGTCATAAATTACCCACCCCACCTCCTGCCATGTACACATACGTTATATTTTTAAATATCCATTATACAGCCTTTGTAATTCACCAAATTCTTAGTATTCTCCCGTCAGCCTCAAAGATATGAAATGTTATAGTTGTAGTCATTTAGAAAATGAATGTGTTTATCCTACAGCCCACCATCTTTATCTCTATACTTACCCATAAGAAAGTTGCTCTCAGTGAAGTGTCTTATGGGCTCATATAAATTTTCTTTATTACATTCTAAGGGGGAGATTGGTTTTGGCAGTTTGAAGAAGTTGCTAGACATTCTCACAAGTGTTTAAAGAGTTTGTGTTCATATCTTATCTCACCAACTACTGTACAAAGTATTTCATAGTATTACATTTTTGTTCCATTGGAATGAAGGAAATTTTTAGCAGAAACTGTCTAAATAGACTGTATTATTATATTACAGATGGCTTCCTTGGCAGTATCCAACTGGCCTAAGCCCATGCCATTGATTCCTTGTCTATCTTGGTCCACAGCATCTGGGGTCTTCACTACGGTAATTTAATTGCTGCTAATATTTCGATAGCTTATAATTAAAGGGTCCCCATAGCACATGAATCATAAGATTCAGCTTATATTCATACTCATGCTAAAATATATTACAGCACAGATACAAAGCAAACTCAACAAAGAGAAAGACACACAGAGTTGAAGTCCAGAGGGAACCAACCAACCAACCAAGCTTCTAAGAGTTCTCTCACAGTGGTATGAAGTCTCATAGAACACATTTAATTCTATTAACAATGATTTATGATAATAAATACAAAGTGTTGCCTACTAGGGAAGCTTTTCTAAGCCTACAAGTCCAGGGTTTTTATCAGAGCTTGGCTACTTAGGCACCCTTTGCTAAGAATATCTCCTCGTTCCAGATAGAAAGCAAGTGTTCAGCAGAAGCTTTATTATTTATACACAGTTTAGGCATTGTGACCTACTCTTATTTAGGAAATAGTTCAGTGTGAGGAACTGTTTATCAGTCAGGTTCCTACATGTCAGCCAAGGGCCAACTTTGCAAACAGGCCTTTTTAAGGATAGGCAGTAATACTGTTAACTCTTAGCTGCACAGAAATATTAATAAAAATATTGGAAAAATACTTTATGAGGTGATTTGATCTTAATTTAGCTTATTGTTTCAGGGTGTGTTGAGTAAATCAATTAATTGGAGGGAGCTGGAAAAGCAGTATTATACACAAACAGTTTATGAAGATGAAATTATTCACATGCTTGAATATTGTGGAGTAAGTATTTTTAACTTCTGCATACTATTATGTGGGAAAGGTGATGGTGTAAAAAAAAATTAAGCTTTAAAGAGAATAGAGAATAGTAAAAAAAATTTTCAAAGCTGTATGCATTGCTTTTGAATTTTTAAAAACTTTATTTTAAAATAAAACGGACACAGAGAATCATGCACAGCAGATCATGGCTTAGTCAAAAAAGGTAAAGATACTTGTAACTACTACCTAGCTTAAGAACTAGAAATTGGATGTGAATTAGCTTTCCCTGTTGAATCGTTTGTATCTTTCAACTATCCTCACTAGTCAAAAAAAAAAAGAGGAAATAGAAATTGGCCATCTATTTCAGAATCCTTTACAGGTTTCTCCCTCACTCCATTAGTTACCATTATCTTGAGTTTTATAGCAATTATTCCTTGTATTATTATAATAATGATTTTATTATCTAAATATGAAGCCCTAAATACTATACTTCTCTTATGCGATTTGTCTTTTAATCTACAGGTTCCCCTTTCATGCTTTTCTTTTTTATATAATTTACCTATTTAAAACCTTGGATTATTGGCCTGTAGTTTCTCATAGTCTAGATTTTTCAGATTGCATTGTAATGGTACAGTTCAGCACATTTCTCCATGTTCTGTATTGTCTGCAATTGGCAACTGGATCTAAAGAGTCTCTTAAACTCAGTCTCAACTTCTCTGGCAATGTTGTAAAGTGCCGTCAAGTCAGTTCTGACTCATAGTGACCCTGTGTGGAGTTTCCAAGGAATATCTGGTGGATTAGTAGTCAAGTACTTATCCTACCATACCATACCAGAAAGCACATTACATTGGTTTTCTGTTATGTAAACCTCCATTGATGCTTATTGTATGAATTCACTGTTGTTGTTAAGTGCTGCTGAGTCAGCTCTGATTCATAGCGACCCTGTATGTGGTTTGCGAGTAGCAGCTGGTCAGCTTGAACTGCCGACCTTGCAGTCTAGCGTAGTATAACCCATAGCACCACACCGGACTCCAGGTTAATTCATTAAGAGTTAAAAAATACTTATATTCTAATTATATAATTTATTACTTAAAATGCTTTTATAAGAAGATAATTTCCTCATCTATTCTTTGGTTCCCTAGTAGTTTAATTCCTTGCCATTTGGAAGTTTTATATCTATACTGTTCCTTCTTTTTGCTTTATAGTTGACTTCATTATACACTGATATATCTGGTTCTCTATTTCAGTCTTGTAAGCTTGTTTTACTTTAAAAACTTCTATATCCGCATTGATTTTGGGGCAGTCTTGTCATGTATGATAATCACGAGAATGTTGTCTGCTGTAGTTAGTTTTCATTCCAGAGAACACCTGTTAGCATTTTTTGTAAAGTTGGTCTGGTTATTACAAATCCCTTTAATTTCTGTTTATTAGGAAATACCCTAATTTCACCATCATATTTGAGGGACAACTTTTCTGGGTATATGATTCTTGATTGGCAATTTTTTTAATATGTCATCCTATTATCTTCTTGCCTGCATGATTTTGGCTGAGAAATCAGAGCTTACTCTTCTTGGTTCTCCTTTGTATGTAACTTCATTTTTCCCAAGCTGTTCTCGGTGAGTATTCCTTCCTTGTCTTTGATTTTGGAAAGTTTGATTTTGATACATCTTGGTGAATTTCTTTTGGGATCTATCCTGTTTGGGGTTCATACAGCTTCTTGTACTCTCATCTTCTTATCTTTCATAATGTTAGGGAAGTTTTCTTCCAACAACTCTTCGACATTTTTTTCTGTGCTTGTCTCTTCCTTTTCTGTAATTCCAGTCACACATATGTTGTTCCTTTTCATGGTGTCCCACATAACTCTTAGGCTCTCTTTTGATTTTTTCATTCTTTTTTCTGATTGTTCTCCTAGCATATTAGTATTCAGAGATTTATCTTCAAGTTCACTGATTTCATGCTTTACATTGCTTCACATCTGCTCTTAGGTCCTTACAACATATTGTTTATTTCTGAGGTCTTAGTATTAATTTTCTGGATTTTTTAATTGAGGTTTTGTATTGTTTCAAATTTTTCATTTGTCTGTTTGTTCTTCTAGTGTTTTCCTGAATTCTTCTATAGTTTTTATTATATACTCCTTGCGTTCCTCTATCTTTCTATTGATCATTTTAAGGTACCTAATTTTCTTTCTTTATAATTCTTTTTTTGGTTTAGTTCTATTACCTTTTCCTGGTTCTGCATCTTCGTCATTTGTTTGAGCCATTCTGTGTTGTTTCTTTATGTAAGCTAAAATTGTCTGTTGTATACAGGTCATTGTATGGTTGTTGTATTTCTAAAAACAAACAGTGCAGTTGTTGGACTTGGAGGGGATTAATCTCTGGGAGCTCCTGCAATTCATGGAGCTCATGAGGTGGTTGTGGAAAGCATGTAACTGCAGAGTTTGTGGCCATAGATGGCATTACTACTCGCCTTAGTGTTAGCTATGTTTAGGACATTCAATCTGGAAGTAGCTTGTGGGGAGCCCTTGATGGAGGAAGCTGGGGGCAGCATAGCTTTGTGGTTTTGTAGGTCTAGAACTGAGCCCACCTAAATCCAAAGCAGCATACCTAAGTGGTGCATCTGGCCCCCACCTCACACTGGAGTGGCTCCCAATCATGTGTATCTGAACTCCTAGAGAACGGGGTCTGTGCTGGGGATGGATGAGGGTGGGAACTGGCCACACTTTTGGTTCACCAGAGGAACTTAGAGAAAAAGATGAAATCACTTCTTTTCCATCACCTGTGCAAATCTGCTCTGCCAGGTTTTCCTTTGCTGCCAAAGCTGCTCACAAGATGGTTAAGCCACATCTGGTCAGCCATTCACCAGTCTCCCTTTTTTACTGTCACTGCTCAGCTCCTCCTCCCAGCATGCACTCTAACCACCTCTCTAACCTTTCTTCTGAAGTTCAGGGTGCCAGAATTTTTATCTGCTCTCTTGTATCTTTTTTGTGGAGTTCTGGTGTGGCACTGTGGGTTAATGTGCTGGACTGAAAAGTTGGTTTGAATTTCAAGGTCAGCAGTTGAAGCTCACCAGTTGGTCCTCAGAAACCCTATAGAGAGTTGCTATTGGTCGAAACTGACTCAATGGCACTTAACAACAACAAATTTTTGTTGTAGAGGGTCCATATAGTGTGTCTGCCTGGTCTGCCATCTTCCTGGAAGTCCACCAGTTAATTGTTTTTAAAACTTTATTTTCCCAAGAGGAATAAGCTATATTTCAAAAAAACTTTAATTGTGAATTGAGTGAATGTTTACAGAGCAGATCATCACTTTTATATTCAATAATTCATACACATATTTTCATCTCGACTGCAATTTCTTCAATGTATCATCATTTATTCCACTTCCTCCCTGTGTACTTTGTTTCCATTCTCCCTTATTTCCCCACCCTTCTGAATTTTGTCCTTAGGTAAATGCTGCCCTTTTATCTTCAAAGGTTAACCATTCTGTGGTTGGTGTACCTCACTAATGTTGTCGTTCCCCCTATCTACTTATATGTTGTGTAGCTAAAAATGGAGCTAGAGGAGTCACTTTAATTCAAGACCCGAATAAGGTTGACTTAGGGCCGTAGTCACAGGGCTCCACCCATCTCTGTCTGATCAGTAAACTAAATTTGTTTGTGAACTATTGTAATTTTAGGTTGCTTCCATTTTCAGATGTATCAAACTTTTGGAAATCTATGAGTTTAGTGAGTTCTTATCTTGGTTGTCAATATTTTTTGTTTAGGTTTTTCCTTTACCTTCAACCACTTTTTAACTTTTAAAAAAAGATTAGATGGTGATATAGTACAGATATCAAAAAGCATAGAAAGCTATATAGTGAAAAATACTAACCCTGCTCCCTATTTGCTGAGGTCCTCTCCCCACAATAAGATAATCTGACTGTATTATTTATTTAATATTTCAGGTATATGGGGTCCATATACAAACCAATACAATAATGTTTTTATTTTTTGTCCAACCTCTTTTTTTGTTACAATGGTTGTAAACTATACAAAAATGTACCCTATTCATTGTTACTGATGAATAATAACCTATTTTATGGGTAATGTACCATAATTTGTTAGCCAATAACTTATTGATGGCATTTATGTTGTTTCACTATTAACAGTTGTGCAGTGGGTAACTTTGTATGTACATTATTTCACAAGTATAAATGCCTAGAAATGCTACAGCTAGGTCAAAGAATATATGCATTTCTAATGTGGGTAGATTTTGTCTGTTTCTATTATGCAAATTTGCATAATCAGCAGAAATATGTCTGTTTCACTGTAAATTTACCATTTCAGTGTGTTATCCAATGTACAGGTTGTTTTGACAACTGATAGTGAAAAATAGTATGTTGTTGTAAAGTGCTATCAAGTTAGTTCAACTTACGACGACTGTGTATAGGGTTTCCAAAGAGTGTCTGATGAGTTTGAACCGCCAACCTTGTGGTTTAGAACTGGCTTTTTGGTCGAGTGCTTATACTATCGTGCCACACCAGGACCTTGAGAAATAGTATTGTTGTTGTTAAGATCTTAATTTACTTACTTTTCAGTGAAGTAAAATACCTGTTTATAAATTATAAATATGAACTTTTTTAATAATATAAATATAAAAAGTAAAATACCTGTTTATAAGCTTAAATCCATTTGCATTATATTTTTGGTACATGTT